ATGTACATGGAAATATAACAAGGAATAACTTGATTAATCAACGAAAAAGAGAACTTATTCTAATTAGCAGGGAGGGAAAACATCTGTGGGATGTTCTTGGTAAGGCAATTTATATTAAGACAGTTAGAAAATGTAACTAAGGAAACACTCCAGCATTGCTGAAGACAAACTGAATAAGCTAGATCTTTTCTTCTCTAAATAGTATGCTTCAAATTCTTATTCTAAAAATAATTAGATGCATTATTAACACCAGTGTAGCTTGCTATTAAGTAGCTTTACCAATCTTTAGGAAATATACATGTCATCTCTATTTTCTCCTGGCCATGAGTAACTAAGGCTAGATAGAAACCCAATTCAAGAAAAAGAAAAATGTTGAAGTTGTATTCCAGATACAAATATGAGTAAAATCACAGGGAGTAAGCCAGGGGCTAGTGGCTTGATACAGTGTAACAAAAGTCTCTAGGAGATTTCATAAACCAGGTACATCCCCAAACCTCAGGTTGTAATCTTGTATGTAACTCATTGTTTACCTTTGTTAATTATTTGTACTGTGAGATTTCATCCATTATTATTCTTGGAAGTTCCCATGGTTCAGTCTTAAAACAAAAAACTGGTTTTCTAAATGTAGGAAACACTCTTCAACTCTCTCGAGTTCATCTTTTAGTAAAGAAATTCCACTGGGCGGTGGGGGGCGGGGAAACTAACTGGTATTTAATGAATGATAGCATGCACTTCTCAAAGAGCTCCAGGGATCTGTTCCTAACATTGTCTTGTCACTTTTTTACTTCTAAGCACCATTGATTCTTGCATTGTAGTGGCTATAGGCCAGAGGATTTTGTGTGGTGCCTAGAGATGTAAAACTTCTGGAAATTTTTGAAGCCATGGAAAAAAACTGGTTGGTTTTGTTTGGTTAGTTTGTTTGTTGGGGGGGGGGTGTGGAAACTTTGGGGGAAAATTGATATATATGCAATACTTACTTTCTTAGCACCCTTTACAGATCTAAATCCCCTTTGCTACTTTAAGAACACAAAATGTATTATATATAACTTGGTTTGATCATAAAATTATCATGTGTGGTGTGTGGCGGGTGCAGAGATCCCACCTCAGGAACACAACTGGGTATTCATATCCCTCCGCTGTTTCCACCACGTGAGGTGGGCCAGTAGGGGGTGCTCCTGCGTCGAGCCACGCACCTCCCTGCGCCCGACCACCTTCCAGGCTCCAAATGCCTCCCTAGGGGCGCCTTATGTCTGGCCGACCCCTCTCCCGGAGCACGCTCGCTAGTCTGGGGGTAACGTGCCGCCACCACCTCAAGAATGGACTGTCTTGCGGCCCTGTGTCCTTGGGGTAACACAGGCCTAAAGTCCCACGGGTACTTGGGGTACTTCCCCAAGTCTGGGGGCAAATAGGTATAGTCTCCCTTAGTCCACAGACCTAAGGGGTCTCTTAGGCATAATTTAGACCCACCCCTCAATAAGTCTCCCACACCAGTCAAAAAGGAGAACTTTATTGATTACAGGGGGTAGGGTAAACTAGGGTACAGGATAGAGCAATATCTAGAAATCCTAAAGAGCAAACAGTCTGGCTGTGGTAGCCTTTTGATTACGCATCTGTGATACCTTCAGCTAAATATCTAATCAGATTGAGTAGCTTACTCACAAGCATCTTCCAAAGGCAGGTGAAGTTTTCCTTTGGAGGCAGGCGGTTCCTAGCTCATGAGTTTGGGGGGAGAGAGCCCGTTTCAGATGTTAAGGCTTCTCTGTGTCCCCTGCCTGGCTGCTGCGTCACCTCATGGCCGGAGAGCCTGCCTCCTTCCCCATCCTAACTTATATAGTCCCTGTGACCTCATTCACCTGGGCCAGCGGAGGTCGGCCCCAGTTGGCTGTCAGCCAACCAATCTGAAATGCATCACCTGTTACCGGGCAGATTCCAGCTCCCCAGGTAGAAACCCCTCACCCAGGTAAGTGATGCAAGTCACATAAGCAGAGGGAGCAGGTTTCCCCCCTCCCTCAGGAATGCAGCCAGCTCCAGTTCCCTAAAGAGACAGGCTGAGGGTGTGGTCCCCTGTGTGTTGCGCCCACCCTAATTGAATGGTCACAGCACAGAGATTTAAATCACAGTGTCACAGGGCAGAGATTTTTGGGGAGAAACCAAGGTGGCTTTCTGCCACATGGTGTATTTATTAAATTTAAAAATGTAGTTGATTCAGACAACTACAAATTTAATTTACTATGAAATTTTTTAAAAATGTGTTATAAATGGAGTTACAAGACACTGAACTCTAAGGAATTTAGCATCTCTTAATTCTTACCAGTTTGAGAAGCAGGCAAAAATTAAAATTGAAAATACAATAAACCATTAACATTATAGTAAAACAAAGTTATTATGTATTCTGGACTTAGTCTCCACCACAGTATCAAGCAGATACAGAAAGCACGCATTTTGAGAGAGCTGAGCAGGGGGAAAAAGTGGGGGAAAAACTCCCCAAGGCTCACTGAATACAAATTTTGCTACACGCAACTTGGTCTAATCAGTCTCATTCAGAGCTATAACTATCAGCAGTTTCAGCTTCTTCTGATCCTTCATTTTTATCATCTTCATGGACTTGTGAATACTGAAGGTTTGCCCAGATTGAGATGAGCTTTTCTACTCTTTCACCTGCTAGTTTATTTCTTCATTTGGTGTATTTCCAAACATAGACCAGTTTCTTTCACATACTGCAGAAAATGAAGGAATCTGAAGCAGGTGAGAAGCAAGAGGAGTCAAAGGCTGTGTCATGCAAAGGCCTTGCCACCATGCTGCAGGAGGGATATACTTGGCAGAGTCCCAGACTGCATTCCTGGACCAAATACCTAAAGAGCTTCTGTATTCTGCAACACTTGAAAGTACCTTTCCAACACCAAGTGTGTTTCTTGTTTTGTAATTCAGTCAAATGCAGTAGCAGTGATACCATCACTAGCATTTCTGCCTTTGGATCTTGGATCCCAGAGATTTGCAGCAGCATAAATTGATTGGCAACAAAATTCTTCCCATCTGTTAATAAAATCTTTCATTTTTCTTTCTTCTGTACTTGTAAGTGAAGATGCACTTAGATTGTCAAAAACAGTTGGGGGTTTGTTTGTTTGTTTCTCTGGGCCATTTGGTAAGGAATGTCTGACAAAAGCGCACTGTCTGATTCGGATGCAGTGATTGCTAAAGAAATTGTCTTTAGAATCTTCAGGAAGTTCTACAGCTGACCCCAGAAGACATCCTCATCAATTACACTTCTGGGTACTTTAAGATCCTCAATTATTACTGTTTCTTGAAGAGCTGCTTTCGTTTTTTAGTAAACTTTCAAATGAGATCACTCCACCCTATCTAGTTTTACTACAGAGTTTGTGTCACTATTTAATTCTTTGCATTCCTTTCTTTCTGCTGCTTCTTAAAGAGTGCAGCTACAATATGAGAAACTGTAAAACATGTAAAAGCTACTTCTGCAGTGTCCAACTTCATGATGCCATTAAGAAGCAAGTTTACCTCATGGGATACACATCCTATTGCAGTAATATGTGGATATTTTATCCATGATCTCCCATGCTGCTTTCGTGTTACTTGCAGCATCAGTCAGCAAAGCAAATACTTTACCACTCCCAATCTTCCATATGATTTCACATATGTTACTACTGATGTATGTCTGAACCAGAATTTAAATAAATGCTGATAACACAGAGTTGAAGGAGACTAATGTGAGCATGTGAGTGGGAAAAACCCCAAAGGGCCAGTGCGCATGTCCAAACATGCCCCACACATGGTATGAAATTGAGTGAGGTAATCTGAATTGGCTAGAACCTTCCAAAAAGAGATCCCTGTGATTGGCTGCCTGACGAGCATTTAAGCCAGCGAGTTTCCACCCAAAGCAGAGACCAGCTAAATCGGAGACCAGAGAGACCTGCTCTGACAGAATCCTGGTTCGGAGACCAGCTAAATCAGAGAGGCCTGATTGTCTCCCCGATACCGTCATGTCCTGGCGTACCCCATCCTTGCACACACTCGTCTTCATTTCGATCAACTTGTTTGTCCGCCACCGTCGTGTCCCGGCGTACCCCACCCTTACATACAGTCGTCTTCGTTCTGCCGTTATCGTTGTAACCAAGCCTGACCTGTGCTACGCTACCATCACCTGGTGGCGTAAGTAAAGAGAAAATAAAGAAAAAAAGTTTTTTTTCAACCATACAATTACTGACCACCTGACTCCTCGCTGCTAGCCCCCACCTGCCCGATCGTGCCGGCCCAGACTGTGACAAGGCAACTTGGTCGCCACAATATACTCTGCAGTATGCCTGTTCTCTCTCTTGTTTCAATGCTTCTGTAAAAAAAATAAAAATAAAAACCTGGTTGAGGTATTGTTATTGCAAAATGTGATTCCTTCTCCCTGCACATTTGTCCATCCGTCTGTAAGTACTGCAAGACACGGTGCTTCTTTTTTTTGTTTGGTTTTTCTTGCACAGATTGCATTACATGTTCATATTCTGACTTTAAAAGAGGCTTGCTCAAAGAATGGGCAAACAGTATGATGGACTTAGTAACTTAAAAGCTTCCTGTCAGTATGCATTTTCAGTTATTGACAATGGTGTCCCCAAAGAATATGTTGCTCTTGCAAGAGCTTGGTCAATTTTTTCCTGTTCTTCAGGTGTTGTCTTGTCTACAAAAGGAGCTATCGAGAGTCTTTTGTATATAGTTGGTTGCAATATTTGGTTACTTGAAGATGTTGATTGGGCAACCCTTTGTGATGCTGATGTTATAGAAGCAGCAGCAGTAGGAGGCCTTCTGGATTGAGGATGCTAGAAAGAGCTATATGTACTTTCATCATGATCTACTTCCTCTTCACTTATACCCATGAAAGATTTTTTTTTAATGTTTGCAGAATACTTCTTGCATACAAGGATGTGTTTTGGTCATCCTAGTAGCATTTGGAAATATATATTTCATGTTGACAGTATTTGCAAATCACTTTTTTTTCCTCAGAATAACTTGCAGTGTGGAAATGCTTCCATATGGTAGAAGTTGGTTGCACCATTTTGCTGAGGAAGAAAAATGTAATTTAGTGGCTAGCTTGCATATATAAAGACTAAGCTACAGCTTGTACAAATTTAGTAATGGATGAAGGAGAGGCCTCTTTAGTTAACTGTGAATAACTTCCCTGCCTTTCAGGCCTCACCTCACTGCTAAGGTTGGGCGATTTGTCACAAGACATCAGATTTAGTAGGAATTCAATTATGAATTACATGGTTATGAAAATGTACTAATGCAGCTAAAATATAGTTGAATATACTGAATTCAGAGAAATTTAAACTCTTACCTTTCAATAAAGAAGTATACTCTCTTTCAGCTCCTTTGTGCTGCTTCTGTACTTCTGTGGATCTCAAGGTGACAGGGCCAGGAGGAGGCAGGTTCCTTCCAACTCAAACCTTTAGATTTGTTCTTGTTAGTCCTTTTCCTGAGGCTTTTGAGCAAGCAGGAAAATAAACTCCTTGTTTCTAGTCTATGCAGGAACAAATGGACACTGCTGCCAGTGTCTACTCCCAGTCCTTTTGAGGCCTAGTCAGGAAGACAGGAGCAGATCCAGCAACCTCTAAATCGAAAGACAACAATAGAGGAAGTCCACAAGCAGAGAAGTTGCTGAATCTTTCTTCCTTCTCTTGTAAAAATGGCGGTGCCCCTGGAGACAGAAATGCTTTTTGTTCTTGCATATGAGAGCTGTACTGTACTGCTTCTCCTTGGTGTACAGGAATTATAATGATCTGATACTGAATATAGTCTTACATAAAAGTCTTCCTGTTACATAGTTATTAGAAAACATTTTTGGGGGAGTAAAGGGTGGCAATATATGAACACCTTGTCTTAAACATTTTATTAATCATTCTAAAAAAATACTTCATACAAGGTTTTTAAATTTTTCCAAAAATTTTCAATTTTTTCAGGGGAAAAAAGAAGTCAGGAGGAAAAAGATTTAAAAAAAAACCCCTTTCCTGAATTTTTTCTGTTTGTTTCTGCCTCTTCTCCCCCCCCAAAATGCCTTCACATCTCTAGTGGTGCCCACTGATCAGTCAGAATGCAGTATTCAGGTCTCATACTGCATAGATCACTATGCTACTGGGTCCAGTAGTGGATGCAAAAATATAAGTAACATCTCTTACTTTTTTTTTCCTCCCCACCCATCCCCTTCCTCTTTCTGGGAGGAAAATAACATACAAACTTAGGTTTTTTAATTGTATTGTTGTTGCTGAGGGCACAGAGATCCTTATTTCGTTGGAAAATAGTGAGGCTTATATTGATGTGCAAGTGTCAGTCATCTACATCTTTCTCCCTTGTAGAGAACAGCTTAACCATCTCTGAAGAGCCAAGCTGACCAGCATCTTGATTCCATATATTAAAGATAAGTTCAGAGACGTTAATTTGAATCTGTATTTATAGGGCACCGTCATAATACATATAGGACAAAAGTATTGTGTTGAACAATAGGACCCCTTCCTCCCACAAGCTGTAAACACGAAGGCTAGGGACAGAAATTACATGCGAAGTGGTATAAGTGATTGGAAGCCACTATTACCTGTAATAGAAAAGAATTTCAACACACATAGCCCAATTTCAAAAAGACCTAGATGGATGTAGTATTGGATTCAATCAGGTTAGGTTAGACTAGTCGACTTGAATTTCTGTCCCAGATCCCCTTCTGATGCAAGTTTCCTTATAGTCCCCTGGCATCCCAGGATGCTATACACCGTCCCCCCCATTGCTGGCCCATCCTCACAGGGTGGCCTGCTGAAACGCAACTAGCTGGCTCTGTTCCTGGGGCCCTTGGCTGTCATGGAGCAGAGGCAGCAAAGCCCCTGTCCTGCCTGCACCTGTCAGCCCTGCGGGGGGAGTGGGGGAACAGAGCCCTGGATCAAGTTCTCCTGAGCCCTGGTTTGCCCTGTAGCAGGAGCAGAGGGAGATTCCCCCTGCACCCTCCCCCCTGTGCAGCTGGACCATAGCTCAGTCCTGTTCCCAGGTGCGGGGGGAGAGCAGTTCCCTGGGCAGGAGCTGCCCCTCCCTTAAACTGGGCGTCTGCCCACAGCTTGGAGGCTTTCCCCCACCCTAGCCTGGGGTCCCATGAGATGGTCTGCCCTGCTGCAAGAGCAGAGGGAGATTCCCCTCTGCCACCTTCCCCATATGGTCTGGCAGACCAGATTAGGGCTCAGGAAACCCCAGGCCAGGTCAGGGGAAGCCCCCTAAGGTGTGGGGCTCCCACCATGTGGGCAGATGCCAGGGTGCCAGCTTGTTTTATATTTTTTTTCCATCTTTATTTTTATAGCTATAATGACACTGAAACTCTGTATCTCCATAGAGGGTCCTCTCTCTCTAATATATAATGAGAGAGAGAATCTCCATGGCAGTAGCTTAGCATTACTGTCACTTTTCCCCTCTGCCATTCTAGGGCTCTAGCATCTCCTCCCAGGGCACCAAAATAGTCTGCTAGCACAACCCAGCCTTGCTTCCCTGTCCCATTCACTACCTTCATACAAGAAAACAAAGTGTTGGGGGTTTTTTGTTTGTTTTTTTTTGGGGGGGGGGTGTCCCCCACGACTATCCTTTAATGCCTCTCCAAAACTTGTACATCCCCCTTGCATAGGGATGCTGTGGCTGTGGCATCCTACCCACTCCTCTGTCACAGCCAAGAGAGTCCCTTAACTGTTCCTTTAATGTCCCTCCTGAGCCTGTACAACCTTTTCTCATGGGGAGCAGGTGAAAGTGGAGCACTTGTACTGTAAGTCCTGGCAATTGGGTTTGATGACAGTGCAGGGAACTCTGAATGCTATAGCAGTTCACTAGTGGGCCCAAGACCTAATGGAGTGGGATGAGGGGAGCTGAACAAAAAACAGATGTGGTTGAGATGGAATTACTGAACGGGGGGAAAGGGACAGAGGGAAGAGGGGCAGGGAGCATGTAGATATGAAGGAATTTTGAGAAAAGAAAATTCCAGAATCCCTTGTCTCCAAATGTGCTATCTGCAGTGATTGCATGTGCAGGCATATGAGCCACGGGTGTTAGATTTCTTGCTTTGAACAGGAATGTTGGCCAGACCAGTGGGGTTTCCACTTTCAAAAACTGCCAAGCTTTGTTGAACTTTCATATGGATCCAGACAGATACCAAGGGAACAGGAACAAGTGACCTCAGTTTAACATTTAATCAAATGACAGTCCTGCTAATAAGATTACTACTTTAATTTCACAGCGCATCACTCATCCTGAAAGATCTCATAACCCATTACAAACATGGTAAACTGGTAAGCAAATGGTGTGTTACACATCTGAAGATCAGATTCAGGTACAAAATGGCTGAATAAAAAAGGCCTCTTTATTTCTTAAATAATAAGGCAAACCAAATGCTCAGTTCATGGATTTCTTTCTGGTATTTTCTTGCCTTCATTGGTTTTTTACCCATTTGTGTCAAGAAATATATTTTTTTTTAATGCCCCATTAACTAGCATAGAATTTACAGCATTCTTCAAACTTTTGTTTCATAAGATGTTTGTAATTATCCTCATTCCTTTCCATGGTCCTGTCTTTTCTAGTGATTCACTGTTCCAAAAGAAGTTACTTCATGCACAGGTCCACAGAATGGAACAAGTGGAGAAAACGCAGCAGTGAGACATTGAGGGACAGATCCTATTTCACCTGCACACATGTAAGCATCATGGCAATTCCACATCTATGCACCTATGTGTCACTTATTCACAGTTCAGGATTATGATCCCCTAGTGACAGACTAGGATTGCCTTGCGTACGTGCAGGTCAGAAGTAAAACAGAGCAGGGCAGCACAGACAGCCTGAGTCCCAGTCCAAACTGGGCCACACCTGCTGTGTGGGGCTTAGGAATTTGGCAGCAGGGGTGGAGTGGCAGTGTTAAAGGAAGTGTGTGGGGTTTTTTCTATATAGAAATAAATAAGACCACAGAGGTTTTTGGCCCTTTTTTCTTCACATGCTGGATTGTGGTAAATTCTATTGTCAAGCACAGCTTTCATGAAAATCATGGGAACAGCATCTGTGTAACTCAAAAGGCAATGTTTGGACCTTTGGCTGGGAAAATATATGCTAGTGATCTAGCCCAGTCCCCTGTCAGGGCACAATTATTTCTTGTTTTCAAATGGATTTTTCTGCCACAATATATCATGAACTTGAATATGCTCTTCCTTAGTTTGTCATGGTTTTCAAACATTATACTTTCTGTTAGAAACAGTAAATAGACCAGTGGTGGTATTTACTTTTTAAGTTCTTTGCATTTTAGGATTACTGCTAGAGCAACAGTGCCATCTATGGACTGACCTCCCTTGAGAACTCTGAACTCATTCCAGTACTAGTACATTAAGTGCCTTTGAATGACTCTTGTTTATGAGGGGGAAGTATTTGTTTCTCACTTTTTAACATAAATAGGAATTTTTCACCCAACAGCCTAAGGTTACAGAAAGGAACTGTGTAGCCATGCATAGAAATGCTGCAAAATAAGTTTGGAGGTCTAGCAAGTGAAAAATATTATGTTTAATTTGAAACTAAATGGGAAATGCAAGTAAGCAGACTCATTGGAACCCATGACAGTACTTTTTATGTGAAGTACCATGTTGGTGATGCAAAGTAACCGGCTTTGTGGAATCTGAAAGACAGCACCTGAAGCAGTTTGATCTAAAGAGTTTCTTAGAGGAAAAAGCGACTATACTAACATACAAGTCTCCTTTACAGTATTATATTGCAGCGCCAGCACTTGTTAATGAGTCCAGGTACTTATGTAGATGTTTGACCTTAGACTGTCCCTTTCATAACTTTTTAAGAACTACTAACTGAATTATTTTAGCACAACTGAGTGAGTCCTGAAGTGAGCAAGATGTTTAAGGACGGGTGTTCTCCAGTCTCACAGACCTTGAATCTCCTCATAGCAATCAGTAGGCAGGTGCAAACTGATGTGCTGCTACAAACCTTGTTTGCTTTTACACTGTGTTGTTTCTAATGATGGAGTGGTGAGGATGGGTGATCCTGGGCTAGTGGGAGAGACTGTCTTCCCCAGATGTCCAAGAAGTTTTACCAGGGAGATAGTTGAAACAAATATTATGCCATAAGAACGTAAAAATTGCCCATTTACTAGGTCAGACCATAAGTCCATTTGTCTCTCAGTGGTGGTGTATGGATGTTGAAAGGGAGAATGACCTGGGTTTTGTTCAGGGCTATTTTCCACTGTTCCTATCCCACTTGCAGCTGAAGCGTTTAAGGTCTAGGAAGTTCTAATTCAGAGGCTGTATCTGTAACTCTAAAGCTCAATAGCTACTGATGACTATTTCCTCCAAGAATTTGTCCATTCTGTCCTTGAATCTAGCTAAACTGTTAGCTTCCAGAACATCTGGTAGCAATGAGTTCCACACTCTAATTATATGCTCTCCTGGCACTGCCCAGTTTATTCTGGTTGTTTGCTAGTGAAGATGGTTTGGTGCAAGGGAGAACTGTCTATTATCTGGAATTTTTCCCTGGGACCAAAGAGTTCTGTTTTCTGGTCCCAGCTCTGCCATGACCTGTATAAATCATTTTACTTCTCTATGCTACATTTTCCCCAAAAATAAATTATGCATAATGCCTGTGTATATACCAAATTGTCATTCTGAGGTTTAATTGAATGGTATTTTTAAAAGTTTTTTACTATCCCTTGATTTTTCTGGAGGATATTGGGGATTTTTGTTTGTTTTGTTTTTAAATAGTGTAATGTACTAAGAAATCAGCACAAATTAGCAAAGCTTCCAAGTAATAGAAAAGTTGTATATATAAATGTTTTGTCTTTACCATCTCCTCCTTTCCAAATTTATAAATCTTAAAAAAACATATCTGAATAAAATAACCTGATGGTTATGCAATCAAAATATGTATGACCTGTAGACAGAGCTGACCCAAGCAGGGTGTGGGGCCCATGGCAAATCAGCCCATGCGGGGCCCTGCCTCCACTCTGATCTCATGCACCCCATACCCAAAGAAGCTGCTGCCACCATCAGCAGCAGTGGGTAGCAAGTGGCTGGATGCAAAGCAAGCACTGGTGGTGCGTAGTCACCACAGCCGCTTCTCCCAGCTCTGCAGGGCCCCCCAAAGCATGGGAGCCAGGGCGATCATCTTGACTTAGGCCCCCCCCCACCGATGGCCCTACCATTAACATTTAACATTAAATGTTAAATATCTTCTAAATCAAAGATCACCTCAAACAAAAAAAATCTGCATGCATAACAAAATAAACCAGAACAGATCTTCCTTAAAAGAAATAAAGCCTGTAAAACTAAAAGGCAAAAATCACTTTTTCATAATTGTTTATGTGCAAGTCAGTGTAAAAGTAATGAGTAAATGCATTCTAATTCCTGTGACTGCATGTGAGAAAATGTGAATATAAAAACCTGATTTTGGAATCTCATTTCTTTGAAGTAAATATAACAAATAAATTAAAAAAAACAAATCCTTGCAGTTGTTAGCAGGTTATTAGTGAGGTCTGAGTGGTTGGGTATTTTTTGTTTTATAAAATATTTCCCCCATAAAGTAATTCCAACCATGCAGTGTATCTCAGGGAGCCTAGAAAAATCTGTTAACCTCCCAGGGGACTATATTAGTTCTCTGAGTCATGAAGTCCTTGCATAGTAGGTGTTCAGTTACAAGCCTTTTATGGGCCCAGCTCAGCTGAGATATCAGTATCTGCATTATAGCTTCTATCTATTCTTAGGTGTCACTTCAGCAGGACTGAGCAGGCAAGGCAAAAAGAGACCATTATTGTGCTTTCTTTATTTTTACATTTAGTCGCTTTTCTATTGATTGATTCTTATTTATTTTTAACACTTTCTTCTATTCCTCCCCTTCCCTGTCCTTTAGAGCCTTGGTGGTTGGTGTAAGAGGGTTCCAAAATGTCTTACAATGTGACTCTCAATGGACCTGGACCATGGGGTTTCCGACTGCAAGGGGGAAAGGACTTCAACATGCCCTTGACCATCTCCAGAGTAAGTGCCAATGATCACAAAAGGTACCTTGGGTTTACTTTAGTTGGAAAATAGCTGCAAACTGGCTGCTGACTCCACACCCTGACCTGTACAGGCAAAGCTTTATTGAGGTTGATTGTTTGCATTCAAGAGACTTTCCTTCAGGCAGTAGGGACTGAACAGACTATGAGGAGAACTGACCAGAATAGGATGTTTTTCTTCTGGTACATTAAAATGCTGCTGATTGAAAGCATATTTTGACATAAGCAACAATGCTGAGATGGGACAGGTTGGATATATTGTGTAAAAAGGATGAAGCTGTAACTTTACTTCAGTGATGAGAAACTCCTCTTAAATTACTGTTTCTATAATGCTGCAAGACAACTTATATATTGCATAATGTTGCCTTTTTGTTGCTGACAAGGGGTCTGATTAACTTTGTCTGTAATGAGCTTTGGAGGAGATGGCAGGAAGAACTGAGCATAAGAAATAGACTGAAATTTGCAGAGAATGAGAAGGTAGCTTCCTTATTAGTATATGTCTCTTGATGCTCTCTTTCTTTCTCTTTTTCCTCTCTAATATTCTTTATGTGTCCATCTGAATTTTAGAATCTGTAATTATTTTTTCCCTTTACTTGGTACAGAATAAGGTCCTGTCAAGATGACTAGTAAGATCCATTCAGTGATGATTTCAGTAAGTTTTCTAACTGAAAAAAGGATAAAAGATAGTCTGGGAGTTTTAGTACTCTTCCTTCCCTCCCCACCCCTTACAAAAGGTGTGTAATGGGCTTGAAATTAGATGAGTCTCAAAAGAACTGAAAATATTTTCTTTTCAAATTTATATAGAGGCCTTCCATATAGAGGCCTCTAAAATTATATAGAGGCCTTCCATTAGTAGCTGTAAAGTAATGTATGACTTCAATAATTAATTACCCACTACATTTATTGATTCTGAATTGGTCTATTTATTTGGTTTCCACTTCCACATTATTTTGTCAGAGTAATTTTTAAGGCAGTCTAGGGGAGGGTTCTTCTTGTCTAAACTGTTTCACTAATCTGAAAGATTTTGTAATAGCTCTCTCCTATTAAGACTGAATACTTTTCCATTTGTTGACGAGTCAGGATTTTATTTCTGGTCAAAGACTGAATAGTTCTGTAATAATTCTTATGCAACTGGAAAGGCTTTTTTGAAAATCTGATAAGAGTACTTAGACGTAGAAGCATAAATATGCATTCTAGATGCTCTCCAATTGTTTCACAAAATAAGCAACAGCATGAGTTCCAGTTTGTGGGGCAGGGACACAAGAGAGCACTCATTTAAGGACTGTAAAAAGAATAACAAAATCGCTAGCTGGATAAACAGGTGGTTTAAAAAAAATGAGATGCAGCAGTTACACTTCTTTAGAAATTTGGTTTATATGGTCCTCAGACATTTGAAGCTTTGAGTACAATCTGTTTATGTTTTCAAAAAACAACTGACTTTCTTTGCAGTGATCATATACCAGCAAGTATCTGAAATCTTGGGGAATTTTCCAAAATATTCAAGCTATTAAGCTCTGCCGTTTATGCAATCTTCCTTGTCTATCTATATGCATAGGATCTCTTTCTGTACAGGGCTGAGTCCGCATTAGTTTCAGGCTGCTAAATTTATATACTCGTGCTATGATGGGAGAAACCCTTTTGTTAGTGACTTTGTCCTGTCATGGCTGTCCTCTTGGCAATATTACAAAAGGACTGCCGCAAAAATATAAATTCATTTTCCCAAGCTTATGCTAATGTTGGTACAGTAAATGGTGTTGTTGTTTCTTCCCCTTTAACCCTCACAAGGTAAGGATTCACAGTGCTTATGACAAGTATACTAATGTTATCATGCAGACATTCTTGTGACATTTTGGATCTCATAATATAGAGCTTTTTGTTTTTTTTATTTGTAAGGTACTAGTGATTAGACACAGTAAAGAAAAGGGGCCCTTTTTCAAATTGGAACACTCTGCTTTTTTTGATTATATTTTAATAAACTTAAGTTTCTATAGTATCTTTTGTATAAACATTCTACAATACACAAACTCATTATCACCAACCAATTTGCAGATATAAGTGAGATGAACTGTGAACTCAGCCATAATAGCATTCTTATGGTGAGGAAAAAGTGTTCTTAAATGCTTTGTTTCAGAAATTAGTAAGAGCTATAATTTAAAATGCTGATAAGCTAAATTTTATTTTCAGTAAAATGCACTAAATTCCCAAGTGGTGTCAACAGATATTAGATAGATTTGGCTCTCAGCTGCATGTGAACAGGACCAAACTTTTCAAGGCCTAGAGTAGGAGCTCCCAGTGGCAATGCATAGGGGGTGCACAGGGTGCACATGCACCCCCTGAGAGTGTTGGTATACCCCCTATTGGGCCACACTCCCCACTTAGGCAAGGGGTAGGGGAGGCAGGCAGAAGCACTGGTGCCTCCTCTTGTGAGTACCCAGTCACTTCTCAGTTGGTGAGTTTTGCCGTGGCACGGCCCCTCCCCCCCACCCCAGTCACTGACTTGTCACTGGAGGGGCATGTACTGCCCTGACTAAGGTGGCACAAGTTGCCCATGGGAGTTCCCAAGCTGTGGTGCTCGTACCCCTGGGGATACACAAGATCTCTGGGGTGTTTGTGGGAGAAATTGTGTAATTGCAGATTTAATTTTCATTATAATAATAATTGGCATATAAGGGATTAAAATATAAAACATGATGTTAAGGGTACATGGACAGTTGGCAAATCTGGAAGGGCATGTGCAATAAGAAAGTCTGGGGCAGAAAGCAGAATTGTTCTTGTTCTGCCAAACAAGATAGCATTGTTGACTTGACATGCGTCAGATCAACACTTGAGATCTCAATATTATGCTGTTAGGCAGGAGGGCATGACCCAAAATTATACACGCGCATACAGACTGCACATATGACACTGGGTCCACACGCATGCACATATACACAAATGCAAGCATGCACTTCAGTGGCTGTGTGTGTTAACACTAGGGGGCACTTGGGGGTAATTGGGGTGCTTGGTGACTAGGTGGCACTTGGGGCCCCAGGCAGACGATGCAGTGGAGATGGGACCAGGAGAGCTGGCCGTGGAGCTTGGAGGGTTCAGGCAGTGGAGGTAGGAAGCTGGTGGGGGCAGGGGGGAGGAGCCAGTAGAGAAGCTGGAGAGGCGGTGGGGAAAGCTGGGGTAGAGAGCTGGGAGGTGGAAGCAGATAAGAGCTGGGGAAAGAAAGCTGAAAACTGGGAGGTGGGGGTGATGGAGCAAAGTTGGGAGGTCAGGAGAGGTGGAGGTAATGGAGCAGTGGTGAGCTGGGGGAGCAAGAAGCTGGCAGAGAAACAGGGTCATAGAGGGAGAGCAGGGATGGGGATCCAAGATGGCAGAGAGCCGGAATGGGGAGCAGAGGGATGGGAGTTAAACACGAGGTTGGGTCAGAGGTGGGGGCAAAGAGTGGTGATTAAGTGGGGAGCCCGCAGCAAGACAAAGGCCAGCTTGGAGTCCAAAAATACCACTTTTATTAGACAGGCAACACAATATACAGACCATGAAGTTATTGGTTCCCACACATTTGCACAATGGTAGCAGGAGGAAAAAGGTTTAGTAGAGGAATTGGAATCAAGGTGGATAGAAATAGAACTCGGGTCCTTGGTTGGACGGAAGATGTGGGTAATAGCTACCTATCCCAGGCGGAGCATTGATCCTTGATGGCGAGTCAGGGTCTTCCCCAGCAAGGTGGTGCCCTGAGGGAGTTGCCAGCAGGGCCTCTGGGTGGATAGGTGGTATGGCATTGTGCTGGTTCTGATGGAGAGAGCATCCTAAGGAAATCACACTCTACCACCCCTATTATAGGGGTGGGCTACCTGTGACTCCAATGGGCAGCACATGACCTCATCTGAACAGGGCCAGTCCTGTTCAGATGAGGTCATGCAGTTCCAGGTGTCCTCATTGTCCAGTGGGATACTATGGTGGAGTGTCTGCTTTCTATTCTGTTCTTTGTTTCCATGTTGCTGATTCCTTGGAGGGTCTTTATCTTTCAAATATTGGGTCTTGGGAGTAGGTGTGTGGTTTCAGGGAAAGTCAATGCAAGGTGGCAGTCTGGTCACTGAGCTGATGGACCAGTCATTGAGTAGATGGTCTGGTCATTGAGCAGGAGCTATTTTCAGGCCTGCTACTATTGTGTCTCAAGTACCCTCATTCATTCTCATTCACCCAGGAACCAATTTACATAGGAGGGGTAAATATGAGTCATAGTTGCAACACACTTACAATATGGTATGCCCAGGCAGGGGACACAAAATGGAGACTTGACATTACAAGATGGAGGGTTGACATTACTTAGGTTAACTTACAGGAACAGGCCTAAATCATACAATACCAATGTAAAACAATACAAGCCAATACAAATATAATAGGAATACAATATAAAACAGTAAAAATCAATACAAAAATACTAGAACACTATTTAAAATATAAAAAAGGGCTTGTCACAATAATGGCATACAAGAATTTAACTTATCTATGACTGCTTATAACTACTTACAGTGAACAGAGAGTTGCAGAGAGAAAGTCAGAAATGGTAGGGGAAGGGGAGGGAATGTATTTTTAAATTTTAAAAAAGAGAAAAACTGGGATTTTCACTATAGCATGACGTGTTTTCTAGCTAATTTGGGCCTTTTTAAATGCCCTCCAAAGCACTGTCATTTTTTTCCTTTCTAGGAGGTCCACATCTAGGGACAGACATTACACAAAAACTGGTGTAAGTGATGAGAAACTGGTTTAAACCTGTAACAGAACAGATGTTCATCAGTGCGCACAAACCAGTTTGAAAATGGCTGAAACTGGTTTAAGATAACCTGGTTGAATGTAGACTTAACTGATTTGGGTTAAACCAGTTTATGCAATGTCTGTCCCAGGCTCCCTTGCTGGTTTAAGATAAACCAGGCACCCCCAGCAACTGGGCATGCTCACTTGGCTGGGTGAGGCTCTCTGCTCCACAGAAGG